TTATTTTTAAAAAAACTTTGTTCAAAAAAATAAAAATAAAAATAAAAAAGATTTTTTTAAATTTCTAACATAATGGTAAATTATAATATGTATACATATTATAACATTACATTAAAATTATTTTTCCTAAATCGCATGTGACAAAATAATTATTGTCACATGACAACCAACATAATAAAATATCCCAAAAGCCACACACGTGGAGGTAATAAAAATAATAATAATAGAAATAATAAAAATATTAGCATTAATAATAATATTAATAATAAACAATAAATAATTATTAAATAATAAATAATAAATCTATGATATTAATAAATTATTATTATCATTATTATCATTATGTTTCAAAATTTTAATAATAAAAATCCTAAAATATTTTAGTATTTACATACGCGCGCTCTCACACTAACACAAAAATAAAACAACCCTCTCAAAACCCGCATTCACACAAAAATTATTAATATTAGGTAAAAAACACAATATGATCATTTTATTTTTTTATTTTAAAATAATTTTATTTATAATTTTAATAACAATAACAAAATAAAGCAAAACCAAACAAAACCAAACAAAACAAAACAGAATTGATGGTTGTTATTATTTATATTATTTTAAAAAATTAATTTTTTGTTTGTAAAAAAAAAAAAATAACAAAACTCACTAACCACCAAACCTAAAAATAAAAAAATTTTTAAAAAAAAAACTTTTTTTTTTTTTATTTTTTTTAATTTATTTTTTAAAACTATAAAAAAAACATTATATAAATAATTACCCCATTATAATTTTTTTTTTTTATGTTTGTTTAAATAAGAAACATATAAATATCTTTAACGAATTAAAGATAGATATCAATCAAAAATAATAAAATAAAATAAAATAAAATAAAATTGTATGTGTGTTGTTGTTTGAATATATTTATAAAGAGGAGAAATTATAATTTATAAATATATAAAGAGAGAGGAGAGGGATACTTTTTTTTTTTTTTATCATTGGATTGTTTACACATATAAAATAATAATAATATCATATTAACTTTTTTTTTTTTTCTTTTTTTATACAGAAACAACAAATTTTTTTTTCTTTTTTTTTTTTAATATAATAAATTGTTAAATTAGTATAAAAAATAGTATTTGTAGTAATAGTAAAATAGATAAAAATGGAAGAAAAGAAAACAGGAGCAGCAGCAGGTACATATTCAAATTAAAAACTTAAAATAAATAAATAAAAAAATAAATAAATAAATAAATAAAATACTTACTTTTATTATTAAAATTTTTTAGCTTTAGCATTATTAAATCAAAAATTCCCAGTTGCTGATGTCATTGCAGGAACCAAGTGCGAAAGAGCAATAAAGTAATTATTTTATAACAAATTAAATAAAATGTTAATATTGATATTAATATTTTAATTTTTTTTTTTACAGGTGGGAATTAACAATTGGTGATGACTTAACACCAAAATGGACCCATAGTATTGTTTGTGTTTCTATCGAAAAAACACCATTTGCAAAAGGAAGTTGTAGAACTGCACATAAATTAAAAGATTGGAGCCATCCAGATCAAGGATTGGTCGGCAAATTTTCAACCAATAAAAAAACGACAAGAGATTCATATTTTACAGATGTTTTAATGCAAACTTTTTGTGCAAAATGGGCTGAAAAATTCAATGAAGCCAAACCACCAAAACCAATTACATTTTTACCATCTTATGTATACGAATTAATTGATCATCCACCACCATATCCAGTTTGTGGTGGTGAACCATTCATTGAAGGTGATTATAAGAAACATAATAACAACAGTGGTTATGTCAGTTCAGATGCAAGAAATACACCTCAATCATTTTCACATTTCTCATACGAGCTTTCAAATCACGAACTTTTAATTGTTGATATTCAAGGTGTAAATGATTTCTATACAGATCCTCAAATTCATACTAAAAATGGTGAAGGTTTTGGTGAGGGTAATCTTGGTGAAACAGGTTTCCACAAGTTTCTTCAAACCCACAAATGTAATCCAGTTTGTGACTTTTTGAAATTAAAACCAATTAATCAATCAAAGAAAGCTCTTTTAAGAGGAACTTTACCAGTTGTACAATTAATGGATTTCCACGACGCAATCGGTTTGAATGGTAATAATGGTAGTCCACAAAAGAACTATGATATGAATTACTTTAGAAATGGTGGAGGTGCTCAACAACCAATTTCATTAGATGACGAGGAAAAAATGCTTCAAGAGCAATTAGAAAGAATTAGAGCTCAACAACAAAAGAATAAACCTGCTCCACCGTTAGTTAAACAACCATCAGGCAACAATTTAAATAAACAATCAGCAGCAGCAGCAGCAGGCCAACCAATCTCACCAAAACCAGCAATTGTTAAGACACCTTCACAAGGCAATGTAAATAAACCAATTTCACCATCAAAAGAAACAACAACTACTGCAGTAGTAGCAGCTGCTACACCAGGTGGTAGTAATGTAAAAGTAGAAAGTAGCGCTCCACAACCACAACCAGCTCATCCAGCTCCAGCAGCAGTTTCAGTTCAAGTTAGAAACTCACCACCACCATCACAACCAATTTCATCAGGTTCATCATCATCAACCACATCATCGACCTCATCAGTTCAATCAGGTTCATCACCAGACGAACAAGTGGTACCAGATCGTTCTGCTTTTGAAAAATGGGACTTGAAAACAATTAGAAATCATGATACTATCAGAGGTTTACAAAGTGAATGTATCACTGGTGATTCATCAAAATTATTCAGTGGTTCAAATGACGGTCAAATTGGTATTTGGGATTGTAGTGGCGAAATTAAACATATTACTAACATCAAGGCTCATGGTAAGTCAGTTAGATCAATCATTAAACGTCCAAATTTCGAATCAAATATTTTAACAGCTGGTGCAGATTCATACGTCAAAGAATGGGATATCAACACTCAAACTGTTGTTAAGGAAATTAAAGAGTCAAACGAAGTAAACACTATTTTCATTCAAGATAATCTTTTATATACTGGTTGTAACGATAAAACCGTTAAAGTCTGGGATATGAGAAACTATGAGTGTGTTAAAACTCTTAGTGGCCATACCCGTGCTATTAAATCTGTATGCGCTTTAGGTAACCTTTTATTCTCTGGTTCAAATGATCAACAAATCTACGTCTGGAATCTTCAAACTGGTACTATTCTCACCAATTTCCAAGGCCACGAGGGTTGGGTTAAAACTTTATACACTCACAACAATATGCTTTATTCTGGTAGTCACGATGAAACTATCAGAGTTTGGGATCTTAAAACTACTCGTTGTGTTAACACCATTAAATGTAAAGATCGTGTAGAGACTTTACACGTCACCAATCAAGGTATTTTTGCTGGTAGTGGTGATTATCTTCAGGTTTTCAATCACGAAAAATATGAAAATTTAGCTTCTGTAAATACAAGATCTTCAATTCTTTGTTTATGGAGAAATCAAAATCAATTATTTACTGGTTCACTTGCAAGTAATCTTAAAGTTTGGACTTGGGATAATATGTAATTTAATAGTATATTAATAATTATAAAAGTAATAGTAATAGTAGTAACAATAGTAATAATAACAAAAATAATTTATATTAAGATTTTTTTTTTAAAAATAAAAAATCACACAAACAAAAAAAAAAAAAAAAAAAAATTAATAACGATATATTATAAAAAATATTATTATAATAATAATATAGAAATAATAACAAAAAATTATTTATTTATTTATTTATTCATTATAATAGTAAAAATAATATTTTAAATAAAAAAAAATTTATAGTTTTTATAAAAATGAAATTTTAAATGTTCCAGTTATTTCTTTTTTTTTTTTTTAAAAAAATATTTTTTATTTATTTACTTAGTTTTTATTTTATTTTATTTTATTTTACTTTATTTTATTTTGTTAAATATTGACCAACAGTTGAGGAACCAGCTTTAATAAAGACATCATTGCAAATGATTGAATCCTTTATGGTGCATTTATCTTCAATGTTAACATGGTCCATAATAATTGAATTTTCAATACGAACATTATCACCAATTTTACAATGTTTGCCAATAATCGAAAATTTAACACTACATTTAGAACCTAATGTTGAACTGGCACCTATAACACAATATGGACCAACTTGGGTTGGTGTAACATTTGCAGCTGGATCTATAAAATAATTCTTTTCTAATTTTGGTTCCAATGGTAATAAAGATAAATCACCTTTTGAAATCTAAATAATAAATAAATAATAAATAAATATTTTATAATAATAAAATTCTGTGGTAAAAAAATGAATTCTTACATCTCTATTAATTTGTTGATATGATTTAACTGTATTAACATTCATACAATATCCATTCTTTAAGATATATGCTAAACATTTAATTGTTTTTTTCTTTTGAATGTTAATGTCAGAGAATTGGTTAAATGGTGAGGCGGTAGATGACATTTCTTGTGAAATTTTTTGAGTTAAATTAAATGCGCTCTCTGGTAATGGTCTTTGACGCTTGATATTTGGGATTTGACAAGATAATAAATATGGAATTAAATGTTTTTTAATATCGGAAAATAATGGATATTTTTCTTTTTGATCTTCTACAATTAATTCTAAAACCCATCTTGAAAAAATATAAAAATGTGTGTCTTGTAAATCACTATAAATTGTTAAATTTGGGAAACTAAAATAGTAATGTTGTTGATATTTTATGATGATAATTAAAATAAAAGTGTTAGTTTTGATGTTGACCTAATGTTTAAAATTTATTAACTTACTGTTTCAATAAAGATTTGTTAAATTGTAAATTTTCTTCAATCTCGGTGCCTGGTTCCATCATGATAACTTTTTCTTTCTTTTCATCCAATGCTATATAGTCAGTGAAAATTAATTCTTTCTTACTTGATGATGGTGCTTCAGCGGCACCTTTCTTGCTTGGTTGTTCTACAACTTTTTGTGCTGGTTTTAAAAGCATAGTAACTGCTGCCTCGCCGCTTCTATGAATATCTGCCATTTGTCTAATAAAGGTTTCCTCTAAAACTAAATTTGCGTTTAAAATAATAAAATACTCAGACTGTTTAAAGATAATAAAATAATTTAGTCGTTAGGATGATTTATTCTGTATAAATGATTTGATTCTTTATAGTTACTTTAATTTTATCTCTGATTCTATATAAAATTTCGCAGGAAGCAAGTCGATCTTTTAATACAAAGAATTCGACCTCAAGACCTTTATAAATTTCTGATACATGTTGTCTGATTTTTTCTTCTGATGCTTCATTTACAACGATAATAATTGGGTTATCTGATTTTGCTAAAATATTTATAATAAAATTTTTATGATTAGATTGAATGACTCTCTTTTTATTTATTATTTTATTTGAGTATCATATAATAGTTGATATTACTTTCAAAACCTGCTTTTTCTAAAAACTCAAATTGATACGAAATTAAAGGTCTATTGGCAATTGGTAATAATGAATGTGGAATATTATCGTCAATTGGTGAAAGTCTTGAATTTCCACAAGCTTTGTCGGTAGCTAAAATAACAACTTGAAATTGAGTTTGTGTCATTTCTATCCTGTTATTCGATCTTGATTAAATATCTAATTTAGACTAAATAGTGGTAAAAAAAATGATGAAAAAATAGGAAAAAAAATTTTAAAAAAAATAAAAAAAAAAAAAATAAAAAAAAAATTCAAAAAAAAAATAAAATAAATTTTCATCTTTTTCTCATATATATTTAAAAAGAAATAAAAATACTAAAAATGCCACCATTTATTTATAAATAAATTTTATTTGTTTTTTTTTATTATTTTCATATTATAATTTAAATTTTAAATCCAAAAATATTTTTAATTCACTTATATAATATTTTATTATTTATAGTAATATTAATAACTACATTAATAGTAATAAAAACAACAACAATATTATTAATAATAATAACAATGGCCACAATTATAATCTTAAATTCTCAAAATAATGTTCATTTAATTATTAAAATTCCGGTGTAGGATTAAAAGAAAAAAGTATTCCTGATGATTCGTTTAGACATTATTATTTTTCTTTCATTGAAATTTTTTAAAAAAAAAAAAAAATATAATTATGTTTTTTTTTTAAAAAAGGGTGTTAATAATTTTTTTATATTATTATAAATATTATTTATTTATATAATAGTAAATTTATAGATTAGAAATAAAAAATTAAATGGGAATTACATTAAAGATAATTAATATATACATATAAATAAAAGCTATGGATAATAGCAACAATACCAATAATAGTGACAACAGTAATTATAATAATAATAATAATAATAATAATAATAATAATAATAATAATAATAATAATAATAATAATAATAACAATAACAATAACAATAATTTTGATGAAGAAATTGAAAACCATAATGAAAATCACCACCATCATCATAGATTTAATGAATTAAAAGAAAGAATGAAAAAGAAATCAATAGTTTTTGAGGTCGATAATATACCGTGCTATTTTCAAGGTGGTATCATTAAATATAATAATAGACCCAAAATAATAAGAAAAAAGAGAATATATTCAAAAAGAAATGGTGTAAGGGCATACAACAGAGACGATGAAGATTTTAATCACCCATCATTCATCGAACTTACACCAATAACATCAAGTTCAAATGACATTAATAGCGATATTAACAACAACAGCAATAATAATAATGATGTTTTATTAGATGAATCAATATTGTCATCACTTTCATCACCATACTCAAATATTTCAATACCAAATAATGTTAGAAGCAGATCGAATACATCAATTCGACAAAAACTTCATACCACTGACACAGACAATAATGATGGTGATTTAAAATCAAAAACATTAAATAGTATTAAAAATCAAATTAATGAAAAGAATAAAGAAGAAGAGGAGTTGGAAAAAGAACTTGATGAAATTATGGTAAAAAGAACATGGAAACAAACATTTTTTCATTATTTAGGACTAGGTGAACTATTTACCCCCGCACTATATAAAGCCGCATCTATGGAACTGATAGGGTCTGCTTTGTTTTTATTTATGTCATTGTCTATATTAATTTCATCAGTAAACTATTATAATTTTGCGTTCAATTCTGATGCTGCTAATTTCCCGCCCGAACAAGTATTAAACTCTGTACCAAACTATAGAATTCCCGTAACCGCTGGTGTTTTGCATATACCCCTACTATTTTTATTAATCTTAGCAACTGCTCCAATTTCAGGCGGTCATTTAAACTCAAGTATAACTTTTGCAACTTTCCTGGCCGGCTATACCTCATGTATGCATAAATATAGAGCATAGCAACTATTATTATAATATTAATTTTAATTTTTTAGTTACTAGATGTGTATTTTATATTATTGCACAATTAACAGGTGGAATTATAGGATCAGCTATATTAAGGGGCATACTACCATTCAACATTATGAAGAGGACCAACTTAGGTATTTGCACGTTTGGAACAGATATTACCTATGGAGGTGCATTGGGTTTAGAATTTATGCTATCAATGTTAAATTTATTAGTGGCATTTGGTGTTGCATTGGACCCACGTCAAACCTCCCTATTAGGGCCAATAGGTGGTGCACTTTCAGTATCCTTTACATTAGGCTTATCGATTATTTCAACAGCTGGTATTGCCCCAAACTATATATTTGGTTTTAATATTACAAGATGTTTATGCCCAGCAATTGTAGTGGGGGATCTTACAAAAATTTGGCCGTATATAGTGGGACCACTTATTGCATCATTCACTATTGGTGTTTATATATATTTAGTACCGCCATTTAAATCCTTTCAAGCACCACAATATATAATTGAAAAATGTAAAAAAATTGAAAATAAAAAATAAACTATACAATATTATAAACAATAATTATTAAAAATTATATCAATAATTATATCAATAATTAAATTTTATTTGTGTAATATACATATTCTCAATTATAATAATAATCAATTAAGTTAAAATATATATAAATTTATTTTCTTTTTATTTTTTTTGGAAGACTAATAATTAGTAATTTTATTATAAATTTTAATTAATTAAAAACCTCTTTTAAAATATCTAAAAAAAATAAAGAAAACCAGTGTAAATAAGAAATTTAATCAGTTTAAAAGAGGAAAAAAAAAAAGATTTTAGATTATTTGAAATTATAAAAATAATTAATTATAATAAATATTTATTTTTTATTTATTTTTTTAAATTTTAATTTTTTTTAATTTATTTTTTTTTTTTTAAAAAATTTTTTATATTTTTTTATTAAATTTTCATTTATGAATTCACACCCCTCTTCAATTTAATTTTATATAATTTTTAATTGGTATTTATAAAAAAACATTTAATTGTTTAACAAAACTTTTTTATTATTATAAATAACAATAAAATAACAATAAAACACAAAAATATTGTAAAAACAAAATATTAAAATTAAAAATAAAATTAAAAATAAAATATAATAAAAACCCTATAATAATATTATTATATATATTTCAAATAATGAATGAAGCAAAGTATAGAAGTTGTGTAGGTGCATTAGTATTTAATCAAGATAATCAGGTATTAATATGCAGAAGGTCCTCAAAAAAGAAAACTTGTGTAGGAAAGGTAATTTATATTATATTTGATAATTGTTATTTTAATATGACTCATTAACATACTAATTTTTTTATTTATTTTCTTTCAATCAGTGGCAATTCCCACAAGGTGGAGTTGAAGTTGAAAAGAATGAGGATTATTACCATGCAGTACTAAGAGAAATCAAGGAAGAAATAGGATTGGAACCATCATTAGAAACTTTAAAATATGTCTCAAAACTTCAAAATCCAATATCATATCTTTACAACCAAGATGAACCAGTGCAAAGAAGTCAAGGCCACACAGGACAAATGATTCATTGGTATTTATTTTATCTTCCAAAAGACTTAATTTCTCTTGTCAATTTAAATAACGAATCACCACCAGAGTTTGATCAATGTAAATGGACAAGTTTCGATGAGTTTTTAAAAGATAACGATATGATGGTACCATTCAAAAGAGAAATGTTTAATACTCTATTTTTCGAAACCCAACCAATATAAATCAAT